AAGCAAAAAGAAGCCGTGGCCGACCCAATAGTTTGGGAATACCCGTGAGTGTGGCGTGTTTTCATTATTGCATTCAAACAGGAGGGTGCGCCCACGCGATGTCGCACAGCAGCAGGTGAAACGCCACACCGAAAGCACACACACCACACACACAGCAACAAAGCAGTGCAGCTTGCGCTCACATCAAATCACACCACACACAAACACGGCAGTAAAGATTACCTGCATTCCACGCCCCGAAGTTCACACAGCGACAGCGGCTTTCGTGGGCACTGTGTCAGTCACAATGTCACACTGCCTGCTTGCTTGGCTTGCTTGGCGACATCGCTCACATCGCCTTGCAGTTGAAAGCGGCGGCGCTGTTGCGAAACGGCACGTGCTGTCACGGCAACTCCCATGATGTATGTGCACGGTGGTGCTGTGTTTGCGTGTGTGGTGCTTGATGGCGATGGCGGCAATCGCGCATCGATTTGCGTTTTGCGCGGTTGCTTTGTGCTGTGTCAGCAAGCGATAACTGGTGAATCATCATTCAATATTCCCGGCTACTCATATGGTGTCGCGTTTCTCACTTGCGTGCAGGCACAACGACGACGACCTTCAATCAATCAATCCAACCTGTACCTTCTGCACGACAACACAACACAACACTCACTGCCGATCGATCGAGACACGCAGCGCATCATCGCACCAGTGTCATGTTCTCGTGTTGTCGCCGGCCATCGTCGCCCAGACACGATGAGAGACCCAAGGAGGGAAGTGCAGAGAAGGCCGCAATGCCCTTCGAAGAGCTGTCCCGCGCAACAGCAGCCGCTGAGGCTGCCACCGACGTACACAATGTGCAAGAGGAGCAGGGGCAGGGGCAGCACGATCAACACGACCAGCAAAAACAACAAAAGCAAGAGCAGCAAGAGCAACAAGCGCAGCAAGAGCAGCAGCAAGCGCAGCAAGAGCAGCACGAGCCCGTGCATGTGAGCAGTGAGCTTCCCCACTCGACGGAAGCAGCACCTAACAATCAAAGCAACGGCAATGTTGTTGCGGGAGCAGACACTTCAGATCATCAAGAAGCACAGCTGGACAACCCGAACGGCCTCAACGCCAGCAACGATGCCAGTCGCAGTGAGCTGCGGCAGGAAGAGCCTGCAACAGCTAACCAGTGTCCTCAAGACACAACAGCCTCCCCGACCACCAAGACCGCCACGAGCAGCAGCATGCAGATGCAGGGCGTCTGCATGGCCGGGTTGAACCAGTTCCTGAACGACCTGAAGGCAGAGCACCCACAGCACTGGCAAACCATGACAACAACAGACGCGTGCACTGAGCTGGTGATCCCTCGCACGGGAGACAAGCAGTGCGCATATGTGGACATCATGAATCCAGAGCATGTGGGCGCAGCGACGGTGTTTGTGTCGCATGCGTGGCGCTACAAGATCGCCGACGTGCTCGGCACCTTGCTGGAGCATGCGGAGGAAGAGCAAGCAAAGGGTAATCCAGAACCCTTCTTCTGGTTTGATCTCTTTATCAACAACCAGAACATTGCCGCGGATCTACCACAGGACTGGTGTGTGTGTGTGTGAGTGTGTGAGTGTGTGAACGTGTGTTTGTGTGTGTGTGTGTGTGTGTGTGTGTGTGTGTGTGTGTGTTGTTGTGTGTTCTTGTGTGTGTGTGTGTGTGTTTTCTACGTGTTGTACTTGGCACTTGGTATCAACCATATATGAGTTCCCCATGGTAATAGTACGACATACTAGAACCTACGGACCTACATAATAGAAGTTGGAAGAATAGCAAACTGAATTACGTTAATCTGTTTGTGGTCATCCAGGAACAAGCTTTACCTGAAAATACATGGGGACATTTGAGGGCCCGCGCTATGGATCATCACACCAGAAGAAATTGACCCCTGTGTGTGTGTGTGTTTGTGTGTTCTTGTGTGTGTGTGTGTGTGAAAATGCGTGTTGTACTTGGCACTTGGTATCAACCAGTCTTTCAACTTCCAACACACACACACTCACAACCACACACACACACACACACACACACAACCACACACACTCACACACACACACACACACACACTCACACTCACAACCACACACACACGCACACACACACACACACACACACACACACACACACACACACACACACACACACACACACACACACACACTCTCTCTCTCTCTCTCTCTCTCTCTCTCTCTCTCTCTCTCTCGCTCAACACCCCCCCCCACATACACACACACCCTGCAGGTGGAGCACGACCTTCAAGGAATCAATCAAGGCCATTGGAAGAGTGGTGCTGGTGCTGACGCCCTGGCACGACCCCATGCCTGTCACACGTGCGTGGTGCCTGTGGGAGATCTTCTGCAGCGCCAGCCAGGAAGGGGTGGAGCTGACCATCCGGCTGCCGAGCGCAGAGCGGCAGGAACTCAAGGCCGCCGTGATGAAGGACGCAGATCTCGCCGTGACAGACACAATGGTGCGCGTGCAGGCTGAGCGCGCAGAGGCGTGGAACCCCAAGGACAAGGAGATGATCTTCAAGGCCATTGAGGAGAGCGTCGGGTTTGCGCACGTCAACAAGGTGGTCAAGGACCAGATGCGAGCGTGGTGCCTGACAGAGCTGCTGCGGTTCGTGCAGGAGGCAGAGCAAGCGTTTATGGAGCAGCAGCAGCATGAACCGGATGATGATGATGACAACGATGATGCCGAGGACGCTGGTGTGACTGAAGTGGAACAAGATGCAGGACATGACGATGATGATGAGCTGAGCAATCGCCATTCTGCCTCGATCACGGCTAGCGGTGGCGCAGATGACGACATGAATGAAAAACAGACCAGCAAGGCAGGTGGCACCACAGATGCTGACGACAACGCTGCAACCTGCACTGTCAACAACAACAACAACAACAACAACAGCAGCAGCAGCAAGAGCAGCACCGAGGGCGGCGCCACGGAATCTGACAATGACCATGCGACCGGCAAAAACAGCAGTGACAGCGACAACAACAGCGATGCTGTCCCCGCTGGTGCCAACAGCCTAACAGCGCTGAGGACACCGAGGCCAGTCAACGCGCCAGGGCTGAAGATGACGGGTTGCGGTCGTTTGCGCTCCTGTGCAACCGCGTTGGGCTGGTGCTGTTTCATTTTGGCGAGCGGGCACGTGCGACAGAGTTGTATGAGAAGGGGTTGGCGCTGGAAGAGCAGGCACTGGGGACATATCATCCCGACACAGCCACCTCCCACCACAACTTGGGCCAAGTGTACTTCACGCGTGGCGAATGCAAGCGCGCCATCGCCTGCTACGAACGCAGCCTGCACATTACTTTGAACACGCTGGGCGAGAAGCACCCGCACACCGCCATTGTGTGCCACTCACTGGGCGAGGCCTATGCTGAACTTGGTGACTACCACTCTGCCATTGGCAACTTTGAGCTCTGCCTCCAACTCACCATCAGCACCATCGGCGAGAAAAACCCTCAGGTGTGTGTTTTGCTCTGTGTTTGTGTCTGTGTGTCTGTCTATGTGTGTGTGTCTGTGTGTGTGTGTGTGTGTGTGTGTGTGTAGGTGTCTGTCTGTCTGTCCGTCTCTCTAGAATCGTCTCTCCATCTGTCGTGCGCATGTGTCTGTCTGCCTTGTGTGTGTCTGTATGCGACAATTGTACCGACAGGGCATCTTGTACAACAGCGGTACGGTGCGCCTCCACCCACCTCAACCTCCACCTCAACCTCCACCTCAACCTCCACCTCAACCCCCACCTCAACCCTCTCTTCCACAGGTGTGCGCGTCCCTGCACAGCCTGGGCCGCATCTACGGCAAAGTTGGCGAGTACGGAAAGGCCGTAGGCTACCTTGAGAAGGATCTTGAAATCACGCTGGAGACGGTTGGCGAGAAGCACCCGTCCACCGCCGTCTCGTACAGTACACTTGGGCAGGTGTATCGTGACGCGGGCCACTATGACAAGGCCATCGAACTGTTTGACAAGGCGCTGCAGATCAAGCTGGACACCGTTGGCGAGCAGAATGCGGAGACTGTGCGCACCCTCAACGACCTTGGGCAGGCATACAACAGCAAGGGCGAGCATGAGCGTGCCATCGAGTGCCTGGAAAAAGGGCTTGCGCTGGCGCTCACCTTCATGGGCGACACGCACCAGGACGTGGCTTCACTGTACAACAGCCTTGGGCTCGTGTACGGGGCCAAGGGCATGCACGATGCGGCACTTGAGATGTACGAGAAGACGCTTGGCATTGAGCTGGCGACACTTGGCGAGGAACACCCGTCTGTTGGCGTGTCGTACCACAACATCGGGCACACGTACAGGCGGATGGGGGATTTGGCCAACGCAAAGAAGAACCTTGCGCACGCGGTGCACATATGGATGGAGACGCTGGGGCCAGACCACCCACACACGCGCACAGGACTCAATTCGCTCATAGTGCTGGACAGCGACAGCGAAAGCGACGACGAAGATGAAGGCGAGCGAGAATGCGAACGCGGAGAGGAGAGTGAAGGTGAGAGTCAAGTGCCACTGGCGTCAGGAGAGAATGGCGGTGATGCCGATGATTCTGGTGACAGCGAGCACCAAGATGGCGGCGGTGCCGGGGAGGAGAGGGATAGCGCTCGTGAGGACGCTGAGGAGGAGAGCGAGGGCGTTGAGAAGATGGATGAGGGCGCCGAGGTGATCACATCCACATCAACCGCTTGATGCTGTCACAGCTGCAGAGAAGTGCCCGGAGGTGGAGAGGCGAGAGTGGTGTAGCTCATGGTGTGATCTGTAGTTCTGTGTCTTTGCGTATGCATGCTGGAATGAGAGCAAGAAGCGTAGCAGAAACCGTTGATGAAAGGAATCCAATCTGTCCAAGGTGACGCGTGTCTCTTGCGTGCATGCATTGATGTTTTGACATGTTGTGGAGACGTCAGGCTGTCTGCGAAACAAGTAAAATGTGCGAAATCAAAACGGCTCCGATGGTGATGACTCCATGGTGAAAATGTGCCTGCTGTTTACCTGTTGTTCACGTTGCTGAGTTTTAGGTTGTTGTTGTTGTTGTTGTTGTCGTCGTTGTTGAGAATGTCATTTATTGTTCGCTTCTCTTAAGTGCACACACACACACACACACACACACACACACACACACACACACACACACACACACACACACACACACACACACACACACACACACACACAACACGCACACGCACACACACACAAACACACAAACACACACTTTCCTCTCTCACAACCATCCAACCCACCCACCAGCCAAACAAGCAATCAAACGCGCTGCACTAGGCGTTGAGGAGCCAGGGGGAGGGGTTGGTCTCTTTGATGCGCCGTCGCGCCTCCCGCACGTGTGCCGGCGTCAACGGACCGCTCTCGTGCCACTCCTTCTGCACATCCAGCGCTGATGATGGCGGTGGCGGTGGTGGTGGTGATGATGGAGACAAACGGAGACATAAATGGGGGCTCAACCGAGAAACCACTGGTACTTGAGAGGGTGGAGCAAAGACAAGCACATGTACAATGTGTGGTAGGCAGACAGACAGATAGACAGATAGACACACACACACACAGACAGAAACCACACACACACACACACACACACACACACACACACATACACACACACACACACACACACACACACCCGTACCCGTCTCGACAATTTCGCCGACGTGGACCTTTGCGAGGGCGCCGAGGACGGTGAGGACGGTCCGTCGCTTCTCCGCCGTCGACGCCAAAGACTGGTGCGCGCGCCCAACAACCTAATTGGGGGGGGGGGTGGGTTGAGGGGTGGTGTGGTGATCGCATGTGAGCAATGAGATGAAAAGTACGTCTGCTGCGAGGGTATCACGGTGGAAGGTTATGCAGATCTGTACAGCAACAAACGTACATACACACACATACATACATGTACATATACGCTGGGCTCACCTTTCGCAGGACCTTTGGGTCGAAACGGGAGCGGCGGTAGCTCTCGTGGCGTATCCTCTGCTCTTCCGTAAACGACGCCATCAGAATCCTACACGTGTGTGTGTGTGTGTGTGTGTGTGTGTGTGTGTGTGTGTGTGTGTGTGTGTGTGTGTGTGTGCGTGTGTGTGTGTGTGTGTGTGTGTGTGTGTGTGTGTGTGTGTGTGTGTGTGTGTGTGTGTGTGTGTGAATGTGCGGTTATATTCATGTGCGGGTGCGAGGGCAAGTGAAAGGCCACAGATGCAGTGACTGACGGTGCACATGCACATGCACGTGTCTTTGCAGAGAGAATGGATGACGCACGACAACAGCAACAACGTACACACGCTACCCAAATAATTTGCCTGAACGGGCACTCACTTGAGCTTCTCTGCGTATCGCTCCTTGTCGTTTCTGAACGCGCGCAGCTCCGCGTCCTCGTCTTCCTCCAGCGCATACACTTCCTCGTCGCGCTCAAACGCTTTTCGCTCAGCCTCCTTTCGTTCTTTTCGCTTGCGAGCTGCCCATGGTGTTGGTTGGAGACACGTGAACATGAACGTGTAAACACACTGGGTCAAGACTGATGTACACGCGTTCACACGACAACATGCGGATACACATATGTACACACACGCACATGCGCATACGACGGCGCGTGTTCACATACAACATGCAACATCACACAATCAAATGTGCACTGTTGCACGCACGCACACACACACACACACACACACATACACACAAAATATCGCACCTTCCAATCGCCGTTGGCGGGCTTTTTCCTTTCTGCGGAGGCGGTTGCGTTCCGCTTTCTCGGCCTTGATGCGGGCACGCCGCTCCTTGTCGGATTCCTGCTTCTTGGCTCGCTTTTTGGGCTGCGACAGCGCATCCTCGTCCTCGTCCTCCTCTTCTTCATCTTCTTCCTCATCTTCCTCGCCCTCCTCATCTTCTTCCTCGTCACCCTCCTCGTCCTCGTCCTCATCCTCGTCGCCTTCTCCACCGTCCTCATCGCCCTCATCGTCGTCGCCACGTTCTCTGTCGTCGTCATCATTGTCATCGTCGTCATCGTCATCACCATCGTCGTCGTGTTCCGTAGGGGTGCGTCGTCCACTCAGTTCCTTGCCTTGGCCCAAGCACTGTTTCTGCTGCTCTTGCTGGTCCTCTTCGTCGCCTTCACCGCTTGCGGCTTCGTCAGCCTTTCTCTTACCGCCCGGCGGTGCGAATCGCACACGCCGTGTGCTGCCTGCATCCTCAGCCATCAGAGCGGTGTGGTTGCTGCTGTGTCGTCTTCGTCTTCTTCGTGTTTGCCTTGATTTGTAGAAATATATGCATATTCTCCATAAATTTCGTCAATCGCGGCAATGAGTGTGCGGATGTGTGTGCGGCAGCTGCACGCTGCATTGGCAGTGCGCAAGATGGCAGGCCTCCATCCAAGGTGTGTGTGTGTGTGTGTGTGTGTGTGTGTGTGTGTGTGAACGTGTGTGTGTGAACGTGTGTGTGTGTAGGTATGTTGATGTGTGCTTCTCTCTCTGTCTCTCTCTGTCTCTGTCTCTATC